TAACAACATCACTGGGGCTGAGACAGAGGATGAAGCCAAGTATTACTGTGTACTATAAGTGGGTAATGCCATTTACACAGTGATGTGAACTTAAGAGGAAGAGCAGCCAAAACTTCCTTAGATGCCCAGAAATGCTCAGCTTCAGAAGGAGGAAAGAGAAAGGCTCCCTACCCCGGAGGGAGGCTCCATGACCTTGTATCTGCTGGTTCAGCCCCAGGTGCCTCCTCCTGGCCCACAGAATATGTCCATCTCCAGTGTGACTCCTCTAGACTGTGCCTCCTCCCTTTCTCTCAACCCATGATGACAGGGAGGGGCCCAGCTTCAATTGTGTGATCAACGCTGAGACTCAGAGACCCCAGCACTCCAGGAAGACTCTTACTCAAAGAGCACAAACAGCTACACCCTCATCCATGAATTAACCGTGCAGAGAAAGGAGCATTTCCTCTTGAGGTGAAATGGGAGCATTACTGGGAACTTCTGAAAATACAATCCCCCTCTCAAGCCACTGAGCAGAAGCCTGTGCTGTGAGCAAGATTCTCCTTGAACCAGCATCTGAGACTTGTGTGACTATCAAAGATTATTCGGTACCTCTACCTCTATAGTTATCAAAGCACTGTTTAAAATCTTGTGAGAGTAACATTCTAGGACATACTCGCTCTGAAATTACCCTTTAAAAATTTCAAGACCTTCAGAAATAAATTGAAAATCTGAAGCCATCACTGAAATTGTGGTGGGTGTCAAAATACACTCTGGAATTGAGAATTTTCACCCACATCTTCTCTAAGGATCTAAGAGTTTAGAAAATCAAAATTTGATGAAGATAAAATATATAGACAACAGCTTGAGAGGATTCAGATGCTGATATAAGATATTTTTATTCAATAATCATAATTCTCTTGACCAAGTACAAAAATGCTTGGTACAAAAAAGAGAAAATCTCAGAACTTAAACTGTTATAAATATCAGCAAAATTAGAAAATAAAATTAAACTAACAGTTGAGCAAGATGAAATCTCTCTTCAGGCACTCAAGAGTAACAATTATTCATTTAAAGTAAACAAGAGGGGCCTCACAGGTGGCAGAAGGGGTTAAGCACAGCACTGTAAGGTATCCACAGCCTCTGCAGCACAAATAATGATCCCGGGTGGGCCAGGGAGCTAGCCATAAGGCACAGCCGACCTCTCCTAACTAGCCCACTGCTCCCCTCAGCAGCGTATTTCAGTCAACCTGTTCTGTTCCATGCTCTGTCTCTGGTGAATTCTCTCACCCCCGCACATCTGGCCTGTACCCCAGTTCTTGCATGCATAAATAAATAGATCTTTAAAAATATAAATTAAAGTAAAAAAGGGCTCAAGTTTTTTCTGCATATGTCCTCACATCGCTAATAGTCTCCTGTGTGTGCCAGCAGGGGCTGCTGTGGGACTTCTCATGAGGGCAAGGCTATAGTGAAACTCAAAGCATTCTGTGTGACAGATCTTGGCTGTGCTCATGGCCCCAGTGATGGTGACAGCAGGTACTTCCTCCCAAGGGACACACTCAGACACCCAAACACTTCAGGCCTCCTCCTGAGAGTGAAGCTCCGAACTGGGCTGCGGACCCAGAACTGAATGGTGGTGAGACTCATGTTTGCGTAGTGCACCACAAACACACCCTTACCCAGGGAGCTGAGAGAGAGAAAGGGACATCACAGACACCAGCACCAGCTGTGAGTTCAGGGGAACTTTGGAAAGTCTTCACCATTCACTGGGTACCTGTCCTCCACCTCCCCGTCCTTGCTCACTGCCCAGCTTCATGAGGTTTCAGAGTCCTGCCTTTCAGGGAAGCACTTGTCATTTCCTTCTGGTGTGTTGATTTCCTTTTCAGGGTCCAGGTGTCAGGCTGCGGTGACCCAGGAGCCCTCACTGACCATGTCCCCAAGAGGGACAGTCACTCTCACCTCTGGTTCTGGCACTGGAGAGGTCACCAATGGTCTCCGTGCATACTGCTTCCAGGAGAAGCCTGTTCAGGCCCTCAGGACAGTGATGTGTGGGAAAGAGAATAAACACCCCTGATGGGGCCCAGTTCTCAGGTCCATCCTTTGGGCCAAAGCCTCCCTCACTCTGTCAGGGGCCGAGCTCAAGGTGAGGCTGAGAACTGCAGCTCTCTGTCCGTCAGTGGGTACAACACTGTGAGAGGCCAGGATGGGGAGCCGGAACACAAACCTGTGCTTGATGAGACCAGGTACAAATATGATCTCTTGACATCAGGATGACACACCAGACATCTGAGATCTCGGGCAGCCTGAATGCTCACGATCCTTAGAGAGAAATGTGCAGGAATAGATCTGAATTGATTTCCATTCCTGTTGAGGCCTATTGTGGAGGAATATTGTGAATCACTTAGGAGAATCTTGTCTAGAAAATTCAATTCCAATTCTATATTCCAGGAAGAAGAGTTCCTTCTGCGTCAGATCTAAAGACGAAGTCAAAAATACATTCTGCAGACAATTCATCTCCAGTGATTTCCTTGGTCACCCAGGAGTTGACAAAATCAACAAAACAAAACAAAAAGTCTTCCTTTTCTGTATTACTAAATTTTATTTAATAAGAAAGCATTGTAATGCATTCTAGCTGTGTTGTGTTTTAAAGTACAATGTCTTGGGAAGATTCTTCTTCCCAAACGTTGCTGTTAAATTGCTTACCCTAAGAAGATATGTTGAAGTGAAATAACAAAAATTATTTCAAAAGATGATTTTATTTTAAATTTTATTTTGAAGATGAAGTCTTATGGGAGTAGGGTGGCCTCCTAATCTAATATGACCTCCAAGGACGTTCCTTGGAGGCAGAAATTGTAACTACTCATCTGAAGGTAAAGAAAATCCAAAGATTTCATACAAATCACCAGTAACTCTGAAGAGGCAAGAAAGATGCCACTCCACAGTTCAGAGGTAACAAGACCCTGGCAATTAGAGTTTGGGATTTCTAGAGTCCAGAATTATCAGACAAAACTTATACTTTCTAGATTACCCAGTGTGGTGCACTAATTGCTAAAGCATCACTAGGAGGCCAACACACCAAGCATCCGTTTAATTATATTTCTAAATTTGCATGCATTTCTTTCACCTCAATATTCAAGTTTTTTAAAAATGATTCATGTAATCTACATAATGAATAGGCTGAAAGATGAAAAATCACATGATGTTATCAATCAATCAAGATGGAAAAGACATTCATAAAAGTCAACCCCATTCATGAGACCAACCCAGAGAAGGAGGCAGCCCTTGCAGCATCCTCAGTGGTTATCGGGAACTAGGGGGCCCCTGCAGCTCAGGTCACACCTAAGGTGAAACCCTGAAGACGCTCTCCCTAGAGCTGCATGAGGTGAGCACATCCACGGTCACCATGGCCCATCAATCTGGACTGGATGATCCTGCAGAGTCACAGGCAAGAAAACCATGAAGGCCACAGACTCAAAAGAACAGGATGCATTTGCCCCCTTTATTACAAAGGAGATGATGCAATGCATAGAAATGCAAAAGAATATACATGTATATAAATTCCAAAAGTCATAATTTCAAGAAGTCTCTATAATGCCAGAACAATACAAATATTATTTAGAAACAATAAGTGAAAACTAACTGGCAATGCTAGCTAAAATCTGTCAAATCAAAATATCTGGGAGTACATTTATCAAATGATATAGAAACATACATGCAGAAAACTGGACAGTGGAGGTAAAAGTCATCTAAGGGATTGACATCAGTGGATCCGATCATAGAGAGAAGACTTGCCTTGGAAAAGGTATCAGTTATTTTCAAATTGACTTAAAGTTTATTTCTATTTCTACTGCAACAAGATAGAGCGTTTAGATCAGTGATAGACACATATGTCATTGTAACAGAATAGAAAATCCAGAAATAGACCCAGTAATGTAGGGATCATTGTTGCAAACATGCAAAAGCCTTTCAGACAAGGACAGTCTTTTCCACAAAAGGAGATAGACAGTTGCACATCCACTGGGGTCAATGAATGACTTAAATCTCTTGCGTCATAAAAAATTCACTCAAACAGTTGAAAGAGTTAACTACAAAATAAAAAAAAAAAATGAAGAAAACATGGGTGGAAATATCTGTAAACATGTTTTGTAAAAAATTTTTTATAAGACCCCAAAAGTATAATCCATCCTAAAATAATTTGGACATCAGTAATAATTCATTGTTCTTCATTCACTTTGTGAATTAGTAAAATGATTAAATTCCCTAAAAATAGAAGGTAAAGGTAGGTGCAAACTAATGTACAGGAGAGTAGTTGTAGTGCATTGCTTTAAAACATATGATTTTGGGAAACTGAAAATGCATCCAAATTCAAAATTGTCTACCAGTGGAAGAATAAGATGCCTGCCATGTCTTCTCTGGACATAAAAAATAAGCGGTTATTTATGTCCATGCGGCATCTCATTCACCAGGTCGTCACTGAGAGTAGGGGCGCCTCAGTGACCCTGTGCAAACTGCGGGTCACACAGCCTGTGAGTCAGTCCCAGGAGTGTGACCTACACAGTGACCTTGGGATATGCAGACCCCAGCTGGGCTCCCAAGGCTTTGGGTCTTGGTGAGTGTGTGCCCTGTGACCAGCAGGGGGCGCTTTGGGGCTGTCCTGTGGGTCCTGAGCACTGTATAGTAAGGATTATTTATGCAGAAATGCCTGAGTACTGAGGGGCTGAGCCCTGAATCCATGAGGGCACTCAGCAGCTGTGTCCTCTTGGGTTGGCACAGTCCCTTGAGCAGGGACCCTTGTGTGGTGCCAGCAGGTGCTTCCTCCCACCGATTTCCCTAGGGGTGAAGCCAACCTCCCTCCTGCTCAATGTGGGGCATGAGCTGAGCCCCACCACCAGGGCGCAGGGAGGTGCTGGGCAGTCCCTGGGTGAACAATTTGCATGCACAGCCCCTCCTGTGGCAGAGGGTGGGGAAGAAAAGGAGGCCTAGGGCAGCCCAGACCCAAGTGGACCTCAGGGGCTGTGAGCACCATGGCCTGGACGCCTCGCCTCCTAGTGCTTCTCTTGTTTTGCACAGGTAACTCAATTTGGGGACAGAAGATGCATGGGGGCCTGATAAATAATCTTGTGCCCAGTATCTCCATCTCCTATTCTCTCTCCCTTCCAGGATCCTGGTCCCAGTCTGTGCTGACTCAGCCACAGTCAGTCTCTGGGAACCTGGGCCAGAGGGTCACCATCTCCTGCACTGGAAGCAGCTCCAACATCGGGAGTAATTCTGTGCACTGGCACCAACAGCTCCCAGGAACAGCCCCCAAACTCCTGATATATTGGGATGATGTACGACCTTCAGGGGTCCCTGATCGATTCTCTGGCTCCAAGTCTGGCAGCTCAGCCACCCTGACCATCACGGGGCTCCAGCCTGAGGACGAGGCTGATTATTACTGCACAAGTTGGGACAACAGTCTGAGTGGTCCCACAATGCTCCAAGCCTGTAAGGAAGTGAACAAAAACCCCCTTTCTCTTCAGCCAAGGGCAGGCACCCCTGGCAGCTGCTGCTGAGGCTCAGCCTGGGGCTCTGCTTCTTCTCTGCTGCTGTCCTGGCCCAGGCTCCACAGGGCAGCCCCTGGCACAGGCCCCTCCCTCCCTCTGTCCTCAGAGTCACTCCCAGCAGCACATCCCCAGGTGAAGCTGTCACATGGTGTGACCAGGTCACGTCAGGATTGCCTCAGCTGCCTGGTTTTAGGGCCATCCTGAGCAAGCAGCCTGTGGGCCAGCGGTGGGGCTCCAATAGCAGTGACACTTGCCTTGTCCATAGCACAAGCCTTAATGGCACTGCAAGTCTCCCAAACCTGCACACCTGCCCTTGGGTTTGGACTGTGCTACAGCTGCCCTGGATACTCAGGGGAGGTCTGGTCCTGTTGAAGCAAGGTGGACACAGTGAGCACATGGGCTCTCTGCATGACTCCATCCCACCCGACTGAAGGGTCACTCCTGCCCAAGACCACCCAACCTCAGCTTAGGTCTCCTTTGAATTGTGGCAGGTTTTCACATTCCAATGTCACCCAGTAATGTAAACAGACAAAACATGTTCAAGCTCAATGAGCAACAATCAAACAGCTGGAATTGTAAATGGACCTTCCGGGCTTGAATGACTCGGACCCTATAGGTGGGTGTGAGCCATGGGAACAGCCAGATTGGGCCCATTCATAAGATGGCTTCAGATCAGATGTCTCAGGCATCCTGGAAAGACCGTCACAGACAGGTTCATCAGGAAGATTGGTTGGGACACAGACCATCACAGACCTTCCCAGAGGCCTTCCCAGACCTTTGCATCTGATCTCCACTTTGATCTGCAGCCTGAGGGTGGCATGTGCCTCCATCCCGCCTCTAATATTGACTGCAGAGAGCACCACGGGCCTGTGCTTGATGTCTCTAATACAACTGCTGTTGGCACAAGGCAACTGTAAGAGCTGTAGCACTGCTGCCGTTCTCTGCTGCCATTGCTTGTGGACCAGAGCTGGCCAGCATTATGGCCAGTGACCAGCATTCTAAGCTGTACCAGCCACCTCTGACAGCCTGCACCACTTCTCATCCTCCACTGCCTCCTGGTGCTCTTACACCCAGTGCTGTGTAGTCAGCATGTGGTGCTGCCCAATGACCTTCAGACTGGAACTGTTGGGGGAGTCAGTATGGGCAAGCAAGGAATGAAGCTTTATTATGCGGGAAAGTGCTTGCTTGAGAGTGAAGGGGTCACATTCAGGGACTTGCCCCTGGGTCTTAAGGCTACTGATGGAAACACGTGTTTAGTTTGAGGGGCAGGAGCTCACAGATGGGATCCTGAATGGATTTGACAACTTTTGCTTAAGGAAAGGGCAGGAATTTATGGGCCTATTTGTTGACCCAAAACCAACAGCCTCTCCAGGCCTGTTAGATAAGACAGGAGAGTTACACAAGCAGTGGCTCCCCTGTGGGACATAAACTAATAGGCTTAGAATCAATCTAGTGAGTCACTTTGTTTTGAAATGTGCATGACTATGTTTCAGAAATACAATATGGGCGAGTAGGAGTCTGCAGCCATTGTGCCCAGGTCCTGTTCTTCCTCACCACAGGCCCTGTTCAGTGAAATGGGTTGGGGGAGGGAGTTGCTGGGTCTTGGATGAACAATCCAGAATGGGACAGGGTGGACAATGGTGGGAGCAGGTTTCTCACTTTGGAAGTGGAAATGCACGTGAGTAACCAAGGGAAGGAGGCCGAGTGACCACGTGGAGATGGACAAGGATGGGATATGTCACGCAGAGCTCGTGCTGGTATCAGGGAGACAAACACGGGCACATGGTCTCCTGGGTTACCTCAGTCATCTCTGTACACGTGTTTCCCACTCTGTCAGAGGAGAAGGACTTACAATAATGACACCCCAACAGCAAGGAGTGTGCTTTTTGGCAGAAAATTGATTCTGCATACCTTTCTTTAATAAACAAGAGAAGGGTTTGTATGAAGAAATTTTCAATTCCAGGTTGAGAATCATTTAATATGAGCGTGGAACATCTTGCTTTAACAAAAAGTAGCTTTTCAAACATTTATCTCAGCACATAGAGTCAGCTCACACACATATGCACACAGGACAGGGGGTGTCACAGAGCGCCTGAACCCACCTTAAGGACCCCCATTGGGTGAAATGGAAACAACTGGAGCAACCAAATAAAAAGACTAGAACGGGGGTGTATTTCTGTGAACATTCAAGGACAGAAAAATTAAAAAAGACAGAGACTCAAAGGAACGAGAAATAATTATCCCAGCATTCCAGATGAGATGGTGCAACACACAGAATATACAAAGGAATCTACAAATATGATGTGAATTCCAATAGTCAAGTGATTTCAAGGTTATATGATACAGGAGCATTAGGAAGATCTGTTAAGTGTGTGTATACCAGCAAAGAATACGTGAGAACTATTGGGGGTTATAGGCTTGAAAGAGAGATCCTGCTCCTTGTCAGTAGACAAGGATGAGAGATTAAACAGAAAAGAGAAGCTGAGGAGTTACCATGGGAATCAGGTAACCTCCAGCACAGGAGGGTAGCAAATGGTGGTTACTGAATCAGGGCCAGGACCAGGAAGCACACCTGTGGCCATTAAAGGCTGATGTAAATTCTAAAGCAGAGCAAAGTCTGGCCTGACTTTAGATAAAAGCCAGTGAAGGCAGAAGCCCTAAACATTAGAAAACCAGCAAGGTCAGAGTGTAAGTGGTCCCTCGAACATCCTTCTTCTTAGAGGGGAGCTCTTGCCTCATGCCCCCCACTCCCTTACTGGGTATTCAATCAAGCTGCCTTTTCTATCCTCCACCCTGTCTCTGTGAATTCTTTCACCCACACAACAAAAACTGAATTACAGTAATAGTCGAAACCTGTCTAACTGAAATATTCAGGAGCGTATTTATGAGAGGATGTTCAGCTCGTGTGTGGTAGAAACTGGACAGTGGTGGTAAAAGATACCAAGATGACGGACATCAGTGGAGACCTGTCCTGCTCGTGGAGAGAAGACTCGGTGTAGTAAAGATGCCAGTTCTTGCCAAATCATAGTTTGAATGATTTCTATCTGAACATGACAGACTGGTTTGGATAAAGGGGATAAAGAAAGAGGTCAGTGTAACAGAACAGAGGATGCAGAAAAAGACTCAGCTACTTGTTGATAAAGTTGCAAAATCCTTCCCAGGAAGGATTGTCTTCTGCACAAAAGGTGACAGACATCCGGGATTAGCCATCCATCAATGCATATCAACTACATCTCGCACCTGATGAAATGTTCACTTAAGTGTATCAAAGAACTAACTAAAAACATGACTTTTTGAAGAAAATAGGGGAAAATAATTGTTAACATTTCTTGGTAAATACTTATAGGCAAGACACCAACAGCATAGTGTTTCAAAAATATAAGTTGGACATCATAAAAAATAAATCTGTTGCGGCCTTCCTGGTGGCACAAGAGGTTAAGTACCACACTCTGAAGCTATCCGCAGCCCTGCAGCACTAGTTCAATGCCCCGCCGCCAGGGAGAACACCACATGGCGAAGGAAACCTCTCCTCTCTGCCCGCTGCTCCCCTGAGCAGTATATTTCCGTCAGTCTGACTGTTCTGCTCCCCAAGTGTTTCTGGTGAATCCTCTCACACCCCGCATATCTGGCCTGTATGCCAGCTCTTGTACGCATAAATAAATCTTTTTTTAAAAATGTGTTGTTCTTCCCTCACTTTGTGAAATAATAAGACAATTACTCAAAAATAGATTATTAAGATGCAAAGTAACTTACAGAAGCTTAGCTGGAATCCATTCCTTTCATACACATGAGTGTGGGATACTGAAAATGCTCCAGTTTTTAAATTGCAAACGGATGGAGAAATTGGATGTTTGGAGTATCTGCTCTGGGCAAACCAGATTTAAGCAATTATGTACGTACATGCCGCGTCTTCCTACACCAGGACTCCACTGGGAGTGGAGACGCCTCAGTGACTCTGTCAGCACTAAGGGTCTAGGACTCAAACCTTGCATGTGTGACTAGACACAGGACCTGGTGATCTGCAGACAGCAGCTGGGCTCCCAGGGCTGTTACTCCTGGTGAATATGCCCTGTGACCAGAAGGGGGCGCTGTGGGACTGTCTTCTGGGCCCTCAACAGCTGCTCAGTGAGGATATTTTTACAGAGGTGCCTGGGCCTGGGGACTGGGCTCTGGGGTCCCAGATGAAGAGTCAGCAGCTCTTATCACTCTGCCTGTCACATTATCTGAGCAGGAACTTCAGGGTGGGGTCTGCAGGTGCTTCCTCCCAGGCCTCTCCCAGAGGGGGAAGCATAGCCTACTCCTCTTCAGTGCTGGGTGTGAGCTGAGCTCCAGCCACAGTGCTCAGGGAGGGGCTGGGCAGCCCCTGGTGAGAACCCATTTGCATGCATAGCCCCTCCTGTGGCAGAAGCTGGAGAAGAAAAGGGGGCCTGGGCCTGGCCTGGGCAACTATAGGGCTCAGCAGGGTTGTGAGCACCATGGCCTGGTCCCCTCTGCTCCTCATGCTCCTCTCTCACTACACAGGTAATTGGCTATGGGGAGCAGGGAGGTGGAACTGTCTTTGTCTTGAGACCCCAGCAAAATCATCTCCATGTCTCTCCTTCTTCCAGGATCCTGGGCCCAGTCTGTGCTGACTCAGCCACAGTCAGTCTCTGGGAACCTGGGCCAGAGGGTCACCATCTCCTGCACTGGAAGCAGCTCCAACATCGGGAGTAATTCTGTGCAGTGGTACCAACAGCTCCCAGGGACAGCCCCCAAACTCCTGATATATTGGAATGATGTACGACCTTCAGGGATCCCTGAACGATTCACTGGCTCCAAGACTGGCAGCTCAGCCACCCTGACCATCACTGGGCTCCAGCCTGAGGACGAGGCTGATTATTACTGTGCAAGTTGGGATGATAGTCTGAGTGGTCCCACAGTGCTCCAGGCCTGTGGGGAAGTGAGACACAAACTCCCTTTCTCTTCTGCCAAGAGCAGGCACCCCTGGCAGCTGCTGCTGAGGCTCAGCC